CAGCCAAAATGTCCAAACAGAAACAAATGGATTGTAAAATTATGGTACATTCATGCAATGTAATACTATACAGCAAGCAGGAGCAATGATTTTGTAAATTATTACTTAACTTGGGAGGGACGGGAGAGCATTATGCTGAGTGAACTAACTCAATCCCACAAGGATAAATATTGTATAAAACCATTACTGTAGAATGAATATAAGGATCCAAGAGGGGTGGGAGAGGTAGGAAGCAGAGGGATGAGGGTGTGCAGGGGGAGGAGGTTATTAATCATTGGGTTGTACAATCTGATGGCAAAGGTGAGAGAAAACTAAAAAAATTGGTTTTGAAAACAATGTATTTGAATTTTGTAAATAAACTGGCAGAAAATTTAAAAAAGAGGAAGACTTTCAATGAGACAATTTACACAGTGACTACAAAAATGGGTTCTAGGATTTCAAAGATGATGAGGATGGCCTAAGATAAGACAGGGTCAGATCTGCTGTTCAGAAGGTTGCCATGAGCTGTACTCGACTCAACAGCACTGACCAACAAAGATGCCTGGAGGGACAATTGGTAAGAGAAACAAGCTGATGATGTTTCTTACTTTCTGTGGCCCTACTTGCTAGTTTCTGTTAGCAAATACAGGAATCTTTTTTTTTTTTTTTTTGCCTTTTTGTCTACTCAACTTCTACCTTGCACTAAGATCAATAGCTGATTATTTTCTCACCCCTATTAGGATCTGATAGCTCTCTGTCATTCTCTCTTTCTCTTAGATTTACATTGTCCTAGAAAAGTCATTGCTTAAAAGGAATAAGCTCAGTGTTAATGAATGATTATTTGGCTGTGCCTATGAAATATATAATCAATGTGCATTTAAAGTCTTGATTAGCCCACCAAATCCATCAACTAAAGATCATCTTGTAAAGTTCTTCTGGCAAATCATTTGCAAATAGAATTTTCATTCAGTCTTTCAACAAACAAGTATTTAGCCACAACTCAGACTACAGATTTCAATATGGATTGCATCTCAACATCAAGAAGACAAAACTTCTCACCACTGGACCAGTAAGCAACTTTATAATACATAGAGAAAATATTAAAATTTTCATTATTTAATTTTAATCAGATCTACAAGCAACACTCTTGGTACTAGCAGTTATGAGATTAGGAGACATGTGGCATTGGGCAAGTGTCCTTTTAGGGAGCTCTCCAAAGTACTGAACAGCAATGATGTTCATTTGAAGACTAAGGTGCAGCTTTTCAACCACTTGCTATGAATCTGAGAGCTGGACAATGAATAAGGATGACAGGAGATTAATTAATGCCTTTTGAGTTACGATGTTGGGAGTAGAGTACTACATATTCCATGGACTGAAAAAAAAAAAAAAACCTAAATAGACATGTCTTGGGAAAATTGTGCCCAGAATGTTCCCTGGAGCAAGGATGGCAGAGCTTTGTTTCATATACTTTGGGCATGTCATTAGGGGAGGATTTTCCTTGGAAAGGGACATCATGCTTGGAAAGCTGGAAGATGAGTAATGTAAGAGAAGGTCCTGAACAATATGGACTAGCAACACTGACTGCAGCAATAGGTTCAAGTGTACAGGTAGAGGATGAAGATAGAGACGATAGGACAGAGTTCAGATCTGTGGTTCATAATACCTCTATGAATTGTTCCTGACATCACTTAACAACAACAATAGTGTCAGGCACCATTCTGGGGAATGAAAACACATATGAGTAAACACAGCAATCTATAATGAGAGACTGAAGTAGACAACATATAAAGCATACATAAACAAAGAAAATTTCTGATAACTAGTGTTATTGTTGTTGTTATGTGCCATCGAGTCGCTTGCGACTCATAGCAACCCTATGTACAACAGCCCTAAACTCTGTTCTGTCCTGCACCAATCGCACTGTCTCTGATACACCCATCTTGATTACCCCAGTCACTGAATCAATCCCCCTCATAGAGGGCCTTCCTCTCCTGTGCTGTCCTTCCACCCTCCCAAGCACGATGTCCCTCTCCAAGGACCAGTCCCTCCTTAAAACATGTCCAAAGTATGTTAGATGGAACCTCAGAATCCTTGCCTCCAAGGAGCCATCCGGTTTGACCCTTTCCAGGACGAATCTGTTTGTTTTCCTAGCAGTCCATGGTAGGACTCAATACTCAATACTCTTCTCCAGCACCACAGCTCAAAGGCATCAATTCTCCTTCTATCCTCCTTGGTCATTGTCCAACTCTCTGATGCATAAAACAAGTGATTGCGAAGACCATGGCCTGTATCAGACGCACCTCAGTCTCTAGAGAGACACCATTGCTCTTCAGTACTTTGGAGAGGTTCCTAACAGCAGACTTTCCCACGGCAATACACCTTTTAATTTCCTAGCTGCTGTTACCAAGAGTGTTGATTGTGGAGCCAAGCAAACCAAAACTGTTAACTATCTCAATCTCTTCACCATCCTTATTGATGCTGTCAATTGGCCCAGTGGTGAGAATCTTTGTCTTCTTGACATTGAGCCTCAATCCATATTGGAGGCTGCAGTCCTTGACCTTCTGCAGCAAGCGCTTCAGGTCCTCCTCAGTTTCAGCAAGTAGGGCTGTGTCATCTGCATAATGCAGGTTGTTGATGAGTCTTCCTCAGGAAAGGCAGTATGTTGTGAAAGGTGGAGGGTTAGAGATAGAAGAGGACCTTCAACAAGAAGGATTGACACAATGACTGTAAGAATGTGCTCAAAGGTATCAGAGATCATGAAGACAGTGCACTGGTCATTGCCAGGAGTCATAGTTGCCCGAATGACATTTAACAGCAATAATGAAATCACACAGGAGACTTACTATCTATCTCTCATAGAACTGCTGGTGGATTCCAGCTTCCTGAAAGGCATGACCTTTTGAGTTAACAGCACAGCTCCCTATTGATAAAGCCACACTAGAGCCTGGAGAACAGGATATGCAAAAGTTTTGAATTATGAAGGAGTTTGTGTCAAGGAACAGACAAAGGACAAAATCCCTGGAGGCCTGTGAACACAGAGAACAGATAAAAGATGAGGTAGACAGTCAGGCTAATATGGAGCCCTTAAGGTATTTGAATGTAATTATAATGAAGAAAATCATGAAGAGTTTTAATGTTGTGGTTATGTGCTGACGAGTTGTCTGCGACCCATAGTGACCTTACGTACAGCAGATCTGAACCCTGATCACTAATTCCAACACACCAATCCCCATTGTACCAGTTACTGTATCAATCCACCTCACCCAGGGTCTTCCTCTTCTGTGCTGCCCCTCCACCCTTCAGAGCATGATGTCCTTCTCTAAGGACCAGTCTCTTCTGGCCACGTACTCAAAGTATGTGAGACAGAGCTTCAAAATCCTAGTCTCCAAGGAGAAATTTGGTTTTACCCTCTCCAAAACAGACCTATTTGCTTTCTTACCAGCCCATGGTATGTTCAACACTCTTCTCCAGCATTACAATTCAAAGGTGTTGATTCTTCTCTCATCCTAAGACATTGTCCAGGTCCAGCTCTCTGATGCATAGCAAGTAACTGAGAATACCATGGCCTGGATTAGTCACACCTTATTCTCTAGACTGACATCATTGCTTTTTAGTACTCTGGAGAGGTTCCAGACAGCAGATTTTCCCAATGCAATTAATCTTTTGATTTCCTGACTACTGGTATTAAGGATATTGATTGTAAAGCCAAGCAAGCTGTAATTGTTAGCAACTTCAATCTCTTCTCCATCTATCATGGTTCTGCCAATTGGCCCAGTGGTGAGAATCTTTGTCTTCTTAAGAGATGATAATAATTGATAGATATCAACAGATATACATATATATGTACATAGATGTTAAATGATCAAAACTAGTGATATTAATTTGGTGTGGAACATTTAGAGAAAGTTTTATTTCAGGCCTAAATAAAAGCAGCAATACCGTATACCTAGTGCCATCAAAACCCTTGCTACCAGTCAGGAACTCAGGAGACATGTTGCACTGGGCAAGTCCACAGTGAGAGACCTCTCAAAAATGCTGAAGTGCAATGATGTCAGTTTGAGGCCTACGTGCATCTGATTCAGGTCATGGTCTTTCCAATCACTTACTATGCATCAGAGAACTGGGCAAGTAATAAGGGTGACTGAAGAATTGATGCCTTTCAGTTGTGTTGTTGGAGATGAATACTGAATATCCCATGAACTAAAAAAAAATAGGTATGTCTTGGGAAAAGTGCAGCCAGAATGTTCCTTCATTCAAGGTTAGCAGAGCTGTCTTTCCTGCTTTGGACATGTAATGGTGCAAGGTTATTCCTTGGAAAGGAATCCCGCTTGGAGGGATGGAGGGTCAGTGAAGGAGATGAAGATCCCCAAAGAGATGGATTGACACAGTGACTTCAGCAATGGGCTCTAGTGTGTCAGAGATGATGAGGATGGCACAAGATAGGACAGGGTTCAGATTAGTTGTTCAAATGGTCATTATAAGTCATTCTTGACTGAGCGGCACCTACCAACAATAACAGTACCATCACCTTCATTCTGACTCCTAATGATCTTGTAGGGCAGATAGAAGTGCCCTTAATGTTCTCAAGGTTGTTACTTTCTATTAGGGAAACAGACTGCCTCATTTTTCCCTCTACAAAGTAGTTAGTAGAGTCAAATCTCTACCATTTTGTTAGCAGACTATTTTAGTCTCTGTGCAACAATCCTTCCAATACTCTATATCATCACAGTAATTGTTTATCTGTATTTACCAGGTCTATAAAGACATCTTTCATTTAAACATATTTAAGCAATACCTATTAATTGTAGGGGGGAAAAATCAGGACAACTCATTGCCATGAGTTGGAACCAAAGCTGACCCTCCAGTGGATTTTCAGAAGAAGTAAATTCCACAGAAGAACAATACCAATCATTCTCCTATGAAGCAGATGGGGGAGTCAGGTACAAATATGAACAAATTAAAGTCCTATATAAAATTTCTTTAGTATTTTTAAATCATAAATAATAGAATTTTCTTACCAATTTCCATCTGGATTTATAAACTGCTGCACCGTGTGACCAAACTGCTCACTCGAAGGACCAGAAAATATTTTTGCTTTGGGGAGGCCAACATTGTATGCCATACAATTTAAAATTCCTATTAAGAAAAAGAAAATACAGTTCATGTTACAATTTGTGAAGTAAGTGAAAAATACCAATTTTTATATAAAATTATATTCCTCAGAAATGTTTACCAAAAACTAATAACTGCTGATTTTATAAAAGTTTTTCTTTTATATTGCTTTGCATACAAAATTCATATACATTGTGGTTTCACATTTTGCTCCATTCACACTGCATTTCATACAACCATTCCAATACACTGTTTTATAAACTTAATTCCATTTCATTACTCTTACTATTATTCCATCTTTTCTGGTCCTTGCCAGACCTTTCCTTTTCCCTTTAACCTCACCCTTTCACTCACCAAATTATGCAACCCTATGATCCCCCAATAAAATTACCCCTCTGCTCCCATCCTTCCTCCACCTGGATCCCCAAACATTTTTACTAGTTATCCTTCTATATAGTATTTGTCCTTATGAGACTGAGTTAGTTTACTCAGTATAATGCTCTCCAGTGTCTCCCTAGTTATGCAGTATTTAAAAAAATTGTTCCTGAGTGCTGCATGGTATTTCATCGTGTGCATGTACCACCATTTCTCAATCCATTCAGTTGCTTTTGGATATTTGGTGACTACTGTTTTTTAAATACTGTCATTGGGCCCTGGCACCAGGTTAAGTACTTTATATGTGTGGTTTCTATTCTCATAAATCCTCAAAGTAAACCTAGGAAATGGTTTGCTGGAAAGCTGAAAAACATGAGAGAACAGAACTTAAACAGGATTTCCCCCCACACCCCAGAAGCTTATATCTTAAATCACCATGTGACCTCTAAGTATTTTTACGTATTCTGAGTATTATTTGTCTTTTCTGACACAGTAAGATGCTGAGGAATCCTAGGATGCGGTATAAAGAATAGATTCTCTATCTTCTTACTTCCCCAGAAGATCATGATACGAGTTCTGTTGTTGTTGTTGTTGTTGTTAAGTGCCGTCAAGTTGGAATTGATTCATAGCTGAACCTCCGGTGGGTTTTCCAAAGCTATAAATCACATGAAAGAAGACTACCTTGGAGCTGCTAGTGCACTTTAAAAGTGTATCTTAGTGTTGAAAATGTCACCCTTTATCACAACCACATCACTCTTGGATTTTGTAAAAAAAATGTCTACTGAATAGATTACATTATGAGTATTTGTTATTAGAAATCTTGAATAAGACATACACTGCAGATTAAATCGGGAAGGAGAAAGAAAGGGAAAAAAGCTAATAAAGGGAGAAAGTGAGTGAAAGTAATAGCAATATCTAATAAAGGTGTGCTTAGGCATTGCAGCTACCCACATCCAAACAAATAATAGAAGAAGACTGGCTTTATGAAGAAGAATGGGGATCCAAGATGGCGGCAGACGCAGAGACAGCGTGGTGAGCTGCGGTAGTAGCGAACCACTTAAAGCAGGACCATTATGGCCTTCCACAGACTTCGGCTTATTGATAATTGAACACTTAAACAGTTGATGACTGGCCCTCAGTGAAGATTGAAGCTCAACAGCAGGAATTCAAGGATTCCCAAGAAGAAATGGGTGAGTCTCGTGGCTCCCACCCCTCCCCACCCCCCCAGAGCCCGTGCCAGCTGCTGCAGCTCCATGAGGCTTCCACAGCCTGAACGGATGGATTCTCTCACCCAGGATGGATGCTGGGCACTGGCCCTCCTCAAGACTGGTACAGTGAAGCCACCACACTGCCACAAGGTGGATTTGGTCTGGAGAGAATTCCTGGAGCCAGGATGGTGGCTGTGGGGGAAGCGGGTGCCACCGGCCGCCCGCACAAGAGGGGCCACACACACCCCGAGCGCTCTTGCGGAGGGGTGGGGGGGCGCGCCCCCAGCGGCTTCCCGTGCTGGGGGGGGCCCCGTGCCTCCTGCAGGCCTCCCATGCTGGGGGGGGGGCGCGCACCCACTGGCCGCCTGTGTAGGAGGTGGGGGATGGGATGCATGCCTGCCATCTGCAGGTTTGGGTTTCCTTGGACAGGCCAAAGAAGACGATTACCTATGCATTGGAAAGGCCAAAGAGGACGATTACCTATGCATTGGAAAGGCCAAAGAGGACAATTACCTATGCATTGGACAGACCAAAGAGGACGATTACCTATGCAATGGATTGCTGAAAGTCACTGTGAGTCTGGTGACCTTAACAGTGGCAGCATGCGCAAGAGGACCGACATCCTAAATGCACGACATATTTTGTTCTGTTGAATGCTTCTGCCAAAATATGGTTAGACCTGGGGGGAATCTGTTCACAATTCTCAGGTTCCCTTTATCATATATAAAGGGGGAGGGCAGTGACACCTACTTCAAAATATAGTATGACCACTTACGGGGGGCGGGGGGGTGGCAGCGCTGGAATTGGAAACACTATCCCTGACCACAGAGTCCTCAGTCAGGCGACGGGACCAGACTGGGGTAGGGGCAATTGGAGGGGGAGTATACCAGCCAGCTCCTGGGGGGTGTTGCCCTGCTCGGGATGGGCTGCCCTCGGCCCCCGGCTCGGGGCGAGCCATCGCGGCCCTCTGCCCGGGGCGGGCTGCCCTCAGCCCTCTGCCCAGGGCAAGCCATCGCGGCCCTCTGCCTGGGGTGGGCCGTCGTAGCCTTCTGCCCGGGGCGGGCTGCGCTTGGCCTCCGGCTCGGGGAGAGCTGTCGCGGCCCTCAGGGTGAGCTCCTCAGTCCCTAGATTGTGCCATCTGACCCCTGGATGGGGAAGGAGAAGAAAAAAAAAAGAATGCCTAGGGTATCCAGAGAATGTTACCTAGGCCACCTTCTGCCACCCTCCCCCCCCCCAATAAACCTGAAAGCAACACCCTCAAAGCCCTTCTATTTGTAACTCACAAGTTTGTTCTCTCTAGGTTTGCTCCCTTTCCTATAGGTAACCTTAACTCTGAGTTTTACTCCATAATTGACCCTGAACCCAGTGCCACTGACAAAAAGGAAATACAACTGACAGCTAAGGAAGCAAAGGAGGATGGAGCCTCTGGGTTCAACCAGCCATCCCCTCTGGACCCACCTGGGAAAACACTTTGCAGTCCAGAGGGGAGCAAATGACAGGAAAATATCTTCTAACAGAGCAACAAGGCAAGCAGCTGTAACCCAAGACCACCAGTAAGGTGATAAAGCGTCCTCCATTCCCCCCTTTACCACCCCTGTTCAGCATGAAGAAGCCAGAGAGTCGGCATCCAATTCCCAAATCAATAAGACAGTTGGTTTAATTACTATTGGAAAATGCTTGTCATTCCTCTGTAGCATCTGACCCCACTGGACCCTCATCATTTCCTTCACCTGTTTCCCTCCCCCCACCGACCAAACTGTGCAGCTCTGCAACTGCATCCTGGCCCATCCTCACCCTTCTGCCCCCAACCCTCACCTCCTTGTACCCACAATATGTTTTTCCCAATAAAAAAATATTTAAAAAAAAAAAGAAGAATGGAGCACCATGATCAGAGGAAGATTCCATGACAACCAAGATTAGGCAGATGACACCATTTTGCTTGCTGACAATGAGGAGTACTTGAAGCAATTGCTGCAGAAGTTCAAAGATTACAGCCTTCAAGGCGGATTACATCTCATAAAGTTCATAAGAGACAAACTGGGACCAAGCTTAGAAGAGGCTGACAAGCACAGCCATAAATGTACAATTGGAAGAGGATTAAATTGATGGAAAGGACTTTCTAAAGATTAAATCTCTGTGCTCATCAAAAACTTTTTCCAACAGGGTGAAAAGAAAACCTACCAACTGGGAAAAACATTTGATAATACCATCTCAGACAAGGGTCTCATAACAAAAGTTTACAGAATACTACTGGGCTTCCAGGGGTGGGGAAGACTGATAATCCAATTACAGATGGTGCAAAAGATAAAGACTTTTCACAGAGGAAGACATTTGAATGGCCAACAGATACATGAAGAAATGCTCAAAATCATTGACAATAAGAGAGATGCAAATTAAAACTACAATAAGCTTTCTATCTCATTGATTCAGCTTTGTTCTTCTCATTTTCTTTCTTCTACAAGTTCTAATTGCTGTTCTTTTTATATTTGATGATAGTGTTGAGTTAGATCATTATTAATTTTGCTTCTTTCTTCATTTTTTGTTTGCCTATTGCTATGAACTGCCCCCCTGAGGACTGCCTTAGCAGCATTCCAGAGGTTTTGGTATATTGTATTTTCGTTGTCATTTGTTTTGAGGAACTTTTTAATTTTGTTCTTTATTTGTTCTATAACCAAATCATATTCTAGCAGGGTGTTATTTAGCTTCTACATTGGTGGCTTTATAAGCTTTATTCTCTTGTGGTTAATTTCTAATTTTATGGAATTGTGGTCTGAGAAGATACTTTGTATTAATTCAATGTTTTTGGATTTGCTGAGGCTTGCTTTGTGCTGGAATATATGAACCAATTCTGGAAAATGTGCTATATGTACTTCAGAAGAAAGTGAATTGAGTTTTAGTTGGGTACAGTACTTGGAATATAACCACAAGGTTGAGTTGGCTCATTGTATAATTTAGATTCTGCATCTTTGTTTCTTTTTAGCTGACATATTCTTTAATGTTGTTGTTGTTGATGACTGCCTTCAGGTCGAACATTACTCATAGTGACCTGACTCATAGTGACCCTATGAATAAATGGAGTGAAGCCCCTCTACAACTATTGACATTTATCAAAGGTCATAGAGTTTTGGAGGCATGGTATTTAGGAAGTGGATGCCACTGAGTTGTTATTGTTGTTGCTGTTGTTGTTGTTTGGAACTGACCCATAGGAGACCCTCCCTCCAGCAGGTTTTCAGAGGTAGTTAGCTTTACAGGGCAGCTAGTGACCTCGAACCGCTTCTTGCCACTAAATCTCCTCTCACTAACAGTAGGAGAATTCTTTCTTAAATTCTGTTAACAGTTGTTTCATGTACTTAGCGAGTCAGTCATTTGTTACATGAATATTGACCAATATTATGTCTTCTTGACTACTGCACCTTTAATTATTATATAGTGCCATTCCTTATCATTTATGGTGATTTTCATTCTAAAGTCTACTTTATTCTGTATCAGTATTGCCACTCCTGATTTTTTGTGGTTGAAATTTGCTTGGTATATTATTTTTCCTAGTCTTTGATTTTGAGTTTATCTTTCTCTTCATTTCTTAGATGTGTTTCTTGTAGACAATATTGTTGGGCTTTGCTTTTCTTATCCATTCTGCTAATTTTTTTCTCTTGATTGGTGCATTTAGTCCATTCATACTAAGTGTGATTATTGACATACCAAATTTTATCATTGCCATTTTGCTGTGTTTCATTTATTTGTTGTTTCTTGTTACTATGGTCCATCTACTTTCCTTTGGTGTCTCTGTGTAAGACTTTCCTTAAAAGTACTTGTACAGTAGATATGGTCTTGTTTTCACAAAGTCCTAAGTTCGTTCTTCTCTGCAAAGGATGTGATTTCTCCTTCACATTTGATAGAGAGTTTTGTAGGGTACATACTATTCACTGAGGAAGACATTCAGGTGGCCAAAAAAGAAGAAATGCTCAAAATCACTGACAATAAGAAATGTGAAAATCAAAACCAAAACAAGATACCATCTCACCCCAATAGCAGTGTCAAAGTTTAGTAGGGCAGCAAGCAATAAATATTGGAGAGGATATGGTGAGGTGGGAACTTGCATACACTGTTAGTAGGATTGTAAAATGGTGCAACCACTCTGGAAGATAGTTTGCCATTTCCTCAAAAAGTTAAACATAGAAACTCCATGTGACCCAGCCATTCTACCCAAACAAGCGAAGACTTGCACCCCAATGTTCATAGCAGCGTTATTCACCATTGCAAGAACATGAAAATAGGCCAAATGTCCAACCACAACCAAATGGTTTGAGAAACTGTGGTAAATCCACACAATGGACTACTATGCAGCACTCAGAAGCAAT